ACAAACTTTCAGCTTCTCACACAAAATTTCATGGAAGTCTAAGCTATATTCCTTCTTTAAAGGACCCTTAGAGGACATTCTCATTTTGGAATCTAGGATTTCAGCAAGATTTCCATTCAAATACCCCTTAAGATATTCAAGCTTCAAATATTCAAATCTTCTAGAGAATTTGTACTCCTCATCTTCAATGAAGTAAAGTAAACTAGACTCAAAATTCAATAATGATTCCTTGTGGGACTCATTCAATTTTTTAACCAACTCCCATGAAGCAGAATACCTATGACCTTCAAGCTTTCCTGAAGACATCAGCCTAATTAAAGTAAACCCACCAAATTCATCTAACTCAGATAGCAAATTAGAGAGATCCTGGTTCAGAATTCCAAATCCAAGGACTATCTCTTTCTCTTGACGCCAATCAATCCACCAAGGAAGAGCATCCTTTGCAAACTCTTCTCTAACAAGACAACTTCCACAGCAACACTCTTGAACAGACAAGAAGAGATCTGAAGGTAGCTCCCATGCGAAAAAGGGTTTGCAAGGCTTTGAATTCCCTGAAGCAATAGACTCTTCACAAGCTGGCAAAGAAGGCCCATAGCAAAATAGCCTAAATTTACAATCCCAGAATGATCCTAATATGATGCAAAAACCTGATTTGGTAGCCCACTCATGTGCTTCAGAGCATGCTTGTGATCTTAATTCGGATAATTTAAACACATCGATGTAACATGGTCTACTAAGATCATGAGCCCAATACAAAAGTGGCATCAATGGCTTACGCACATCACAAAGAATTAACAAACTATTGGAAGCTAAAACAAATTGAAACCCATTGGATCTTGCTCCAGAGAATGCAAGGAACCGTTCCTTTTCAACAGGAGCATACAACCTCAACATCTCAATATTTGCTAAACAAGTTATGTTAGACTCGTCAAGCCTTAAATCAACAGAAAATACTGCATTAGTTCCAGCAACAAGCAGAACCCTAGGATGCCAACTAAACTCACAACCTAGCCATTTATGGTTCTCCAAACTAACTGAATCATCCCATAAAACTCTCAATCTAGACCCTTTGAAGCAGGCATTTGGGTTTTGAGATCTAAAATA